GGCAGTGTGGTAGTGAGAGTGGTAAGTCTGAGTTTAATTGGAAAATAATCGACAAGGCGTCCAGCAGCATCAAGATGATCAAAATAGTAGCAGCAAGCTCTCTTAGCCGTTCCATTGCAAAACTTGACGAATCTGTCCAACATAAGCTTGCCGATTCTGTTCATTCTTTACCCGGCCTAAATCTTTACCCTAATACAGCAAACTATTGTTACAATTATTTAACGTCAACCCAGCTGAGGAAACGTAACCTTATACTGTGGCATGACCTACTCAACAATACAATAACATCACATCCAAAAAAGAATAACATTCCCCAAACGGTTGATCAACTCATCGCGACTCTGAAAACAATTCCCAATCTCTTCTGCGTTGTCACACGTCAACGAGTAGGAGCTCCGTACATCTTTGACGATCTTGTGAAGGCCTTGGACTGTTACGTCATTGACGTGACAGAGCACGTTATCAGCGCGTCTGAACAAATCGACGAATCGGTGCTTGCTGAGTATCGCAGACTTCATCAGCATTCTGACCTTGAGTTACGTACTTTGGCCACTGTACTGCACTATTACCCCAACATCAAACGGATCTTCAATCTTCAAAACACGTGGTACGAAGCGAAGATCAGCTGGAGAGAGACGGGAGGCGAAAAGACTAAAATACTAAACAGATAGGCGTGCTTATCGAGTCTCTGGCTCTGAGCCCCTCCCTATAAGTACTGAAGTTGTTTTTAGATTTACTCTTTACATAGGTGCGCTTATTGAGTCTCTGGCTCTGAGCCCCTCAAAGATGTCTAAACATAACACTCAAAAACGAGTCAAATCAATCTCTGATTCATGCTTCACCTGTGATGAGAAAATCCTGAAAAATGAAAGTTCATTCGACTGCTTCGTCTGTGGCTGTCGAATGCATCTGACAACAAATTGTACTGGCCTGAGTAAAGCGGCTGTCAATGGAGTACTGGCTATCGGAAAAAATGCCTTACTTCTTTGTAACAAGTGTATCGAAGAGAAGCGCCACAAAAAGCTGGCACAATCTGCCCATGTGAACACGGTCTCAAATGAACACCATGAAACCGAAATGACTGACCTCAAGAAAACTGTGTCCGAAATCAGAACGCTTCTCACAAGGAAACCGCCCGATTCCGGGCAACCAGCCCAAAATAGTCCGATTACCAAATCACAAGAACAAATGCCGAAACCTCCCGAAGAACTCGATGGAATTCGTATACGTGGTATCCCAGAGTCAACGGAAAAAGAAGCAAGAGTACGCCACGAACACGACCTTGCAGAAGTTCAAAAACTACTAACCCATATGGAAGTCAATGCTATTATAGGCGACGTCATAAGACTTGGCCGATATGAAGAGAACAAAACGAGAACTATCCTATTAAAAGTTCCAAATGCATATCAGCGTCGAATGGTACTGCTATCGGCGAGAAAGCTGAAAACTTTCAGTCAACCAATCTTTCTCAGCAAACAACTGACAAAAGAAGAAGCTGACCTTAAAAACTTAGCTCTTGTGAGACGACGAGAACTGATAAATGAAGGCACCGATCCGAAAAATCTGCGTGTTCGTGACGCAACCCTGTTCATTCGACAGAGGGCAAAGTGGACAAAAGAGAAGCTTCCCGTAGCGGACGAATGACTAGCAGCTTTCATAATATACTAATTTACAATTTGAGAAGTCCACTTGAATACCAACGCCGAACAAATTTCTCCAATGCCGTTCAAGTGAAAAAAAATTATCAAATTATCTGCCTAACAGAAACGTGGCTCACAGAGAGCATTAGCGATATAGGTCTGTTTCTAACCAACTATGCGATACATCGAAAAGACAGACTATCTGATAAAGGGTTGACAAAGCATGGCGGTGTACTGATAGCAGTAACCAAAAACATTCCAAGCTCTCAAATTGACTCAATTTTTCAAGACTGTGTGATAATTCGTATATGCTTAAATAAAGCATTCCTAATATGTTGTCTTTACAGCGCCCCATCAAACAGTGCGTACACATGGACTCTTCCGGACATCGTTGAGCTCCTAAAATTCATTAGGCGAAAACAGTTCGAATACAGTGCTGTTTGCTCATATATAGCTGGAGACATCAATCTTTCATCTACACACTGGCCCTCAATGACGTCAACATCTCTCTTCGAGCAAACAATCCTCAATGAACTATGTGAATCAAATTTTCAGCAACTCATAAAAACCCAGGACGGAAGGTCACTGGATGTTCTCTTATGCAATAAACCCCAGTATGTGACAAGCATAGTCATTGATAACCATCTGAGAAGTCTCTTCAATTCTGATCACAAGCCTTATCAAGCTAAAGTATCGTTTGACAACCGACCTGTACATATCTCTTCACCGTCTCCCAAACAAAAAATAGACTTCGGTATATTTGCATACAAGAAAGCTAACTGGAAATAAATTAATGAGTTCATTCTCCAACATCCCTTCCGACCATACTGCATGAGCAACGTGGACTTGATGGTTGAACTTTGATATAAGTGGCTACACGAAATATTAAAGGATCTTCTTCCAATAACTACAAAACATAGGTCCAAACTGGCTCCATGGGTAAGTGGCAACTCTTCAAACCTCATCAAGAAGTTAAATACACTTCAATTGAAACAAAAACGGCAGCCCACGCCATCAAACAAAATCAAAATCGAATGTCTACAAACTGAGCTCACCCTGTCGCTTCAAAATGACCAGTATCTACATGAAATGACGCTCTTCAAGGAAGGCAAATTCAGCGACATAGAGAGATACTTGAAGTCAATCACCAAGTCGAACACTATCCCTACCGAATTTTTTTTGGATCAAAAAACTGCCAATACAGATATTGAAAAAGTAATATTATTCAACGAATACTTTCAATCAGTGTTCACTCAAAACACCTACTATACGAAACTAGGCGAACAAAATAGCACCCTACAAAATCAGATTCACTTTACGACCGATGAAATAGAAAATGTTCTGCAACTACTGGGCGTAAATAAAGCCAAAGGACCGGATAAGATCGGGAACTTACTTCTGAAGAGTCTCTCCAAGTCACTGCCGAAATAACTGCACTTACTGTTTAACCTCATTGCAAATAAAGCCCGATTTCCGGAAAAATGGAAAGTCAGTGAAATTGCACCAATACTCAAAGACGGAGATAAACAAGATGTGAGTAATTACAGGCCTATCAGCCGGCTTTCAACAGTTTCAAAACTGCTAGAGAAACTGATTTTCGACAAGTTGACTCCAATTGTTTACCCAACTCTGGCATCAGCCCAACATGGTTTCAGACCCAAAAGGTCAACTATAACGAACCTTATAGAATATCTGCATGAAATCTATAGCTGCTTAGAGTCTGAAAACTGCTCTTATCTGAATATCTTCTATATAGACTTCGAGAAAGCGTTTGACAAAGTCACGCATGAGCTTCTCATACAAAAATTGGCTGCTCTGGGGATTGGTGGAAACTGTTTGAATCTGTTAAGAAGCTACCTCTATAAACGGAAGCAAACTGTGAGACTAAATGACACTGTTTCAGATGGATTAGAATTATTCAGTGGCGTACCACAAGGCTCCATCCTCGGACCGCTCTTCTTCTTGGTTTTCATAAACGATCTTCCATCATGTGTCATGTCCAAATCGTTCGGTTATGCTGATGACTACAAAATTGTAGGCGACAACCCTTTAACACTGAATATAGACGTTAGAAAACTGTGGCGGTGGTGTGACGAAAATTTCATGTCAATGAACTTAGGAAAAAGTAAAGTGCTCTGCATTAAAGGTACAGCTCCTATTGCACTGCCAAACCATGAATTTGAAACAACTGAATGTATGAAAGATCTGGGAATTCTCGTAAATGACACACTCTCGTGGACTCTGCATGCAAAGCAAAAGGACCGAAAAAGCCTTAAACGCTCTCCATCCTAAAACGGAATCTTTCAAAAGCGACGTTTTGGACCAGAAAGAACGCATATATCTGTTATATTGTGCCAATTTTAAACTACGGATCAGCCCTTTGGAAACCATCAAAAGGCGACTTAGGTACTCTTGAAAGTGTCCAGCGAAAAGCAGTATCATGGATCTTCATCACAAACAACATATCCTATAAGGATAAGCTCGTGAAACTCGATATCCTTCCAATCTCCTTATATCAAGAACTTCCTGTTATTCTCTTGTTTGCCAAAATACTAACCAGAAAAGTTGACATAGACTGGCGTAGTCAAGTAACCATCACAGACATCGGTACTCGAAGAACACAAGCAACACGAAATTTTGCCTGCCAACAAATACGTCTGAAGAAGTGTGAATCCGATTACTGGTTTTGAGCTTGCCGTCTGGCCAACCTTTTTAACGATTACTTCAAATTTGACATAATCTTTGATCCAGGATGCAAAATTAAACTGCTGAAAACTCATACGAAGTTCTTCAAAACCCGCTACAACGAATCAGATTCATGCACTTGGCGGATATTATGTGGCTGCAACAACTGTAGAAATTTGAAAAAACTAAACTTTAACAACTGAAACACGAACGTTGAACCTCCCAATCTATTTGGTGTTGAATCACATTGGCAATTTGTTAGCATATGTAGCTGCTTTATGCGTAACTTTACTAGTGTTTGTCGATTGTTAAGCTCGAGTGGCTGATAGGATAGTGCGCGAGACGCAAAATCTTTTGATTGCAGTAGGTCGCAGATTCGAATCCTCCACTTTGCCGAATTTTCTAAGTCGAGGCTAATTTCTACTTATTCTTGTTTAACTTGATAGAGCTGCTTTTTGGTCGTTTTCTCGCAAGTGTTGGCGTAGCGCAGCTTCGCCTCTGTGTTCAGATTTGCCCACGACTCGATGTATTTATTCTAAAACGTTTTGATTTACGTATATAACCCTCGTTTGCTCCTATATAGCTTGTGCACTCATCGGAACTACACTGGAGGGCCCCTGTTCGAATTTATCTACAAATTTATTTTTTAATGAGCTCACAATTTTGTACAGTGTTTTTCAGGGTTTTTGTTAGCCACCAGAATGCACTCCTTTAGCACTACCACCACCGACACAACCAAGACTCAAAATGAAACATCTGAAAAAATCAGCGCTGAACAAAATGACCAAACGCACATTGATAGTGGCTCAAATCTCATTAAAAAACCCGGAGGCTACATGGAAGCAGAGGGTGATATAAACGGAAACACGTTGCCGGCCGATGGTGTTCCTCGTTGGGGTCCTCAGCATGCAGGGGCTCAACAGTTAGCTGGCATGTATTCAGACACTAAAAGACTTCAAGAAACTATCGCAACATACACTGCCGCAATTATTGGCGCTATTACAGCTGCGCTTATTTTATCCAATGTGCGATATCAGTTTTTGCCTTATATGCTCATTGGTTTCGGTAAGCAGTCATGGAACATACACTGTTCACGTTTCTAAAGTAGCTATTCACTATCAATTACTGGAAAAGCTTTTTTATTTCAGTTTTGGCCGGTCTTGTTGCTGATTTTTTCTCGGGTCTTGTTCATTGGGCAGCTGACAGCTGGGGTTCTGTTGATCTACCAATCATTGGAAAGGTAAAATATATAATTTAATGCAAAACGTTTGTTATTTAGGCTGAATTTTGTGATACGCTAAACAAGCATGTGTTTTGGAAATTTGAAATGCTTTTTCATGCTGAATCGATTTTTAAACTAGGTGATGTGCCTCTGAGTCTCAATTATATAGATTCAATTTCGGAAAAAGATAGTCCTCAGCTTTGCGGTCAATTTCAGGGTCTGCTTCGTCCGTTCCGCGAGCATCACATTGATCCGACTTCAATAACCAGACACGACTTCATCGAGACTAGTGGGGATCTTTGCGCTGTTGCAGTGCCCCTCTTTACAATCATCTCCTACTGCCAGATCCAGTATACAGATCTGTCTATCTTTGGACTGGCTCCACCGAGTGTAGAAGAACAGACTCATCGCGAATACGGGACCTCATTTTTCCTATTTGTCCTAGCTATTCTCGTCGTATGCACGAACGAGGTAGGTTCTACCTTTTTCCTTTTATAATAACAATAACAAAGAATCCAGGGCAGGTAACCAAGGGAGTTTGATTTCCCTTTTTCAGTTCAGTCAAAGTGTAGATTTTTTAATGCTTCTACCATTTGTTCAGCAGCAGCTGAGTAGCCAAGTGCACAGGATGTTGCAATCAAAGAGCTCGTTATATTGTCTTAAACACTTCCTTTATCCTTTGATTGGTACTTTCTATCAAGTGAACTTCTTCGCCAAAATAATGGGTGAAAAAATTTGCCATCTATGTTGCGTTTCCAGAAATTGTTTTTGTTTCTTCAGTCGGAAGGTATTCCTCCATTTCAATCTGCCGCTTCTTTCAAAAATTCAATCTGCAGCTTTTTGTGAACATTTAATAACATATTTCTGCCGATCTAAAGCATAGCGGTTTGCGGCTATCTCTATTAGGGCCAGTGGCTCATTAATTTCGTGATACAATGATGAAGGAGTATATACTTTTTCGGGTTAACAACTTGTTAAGAGTAATGAAAGTAGTGAAACTCTTATATAGTTCTTGCTGATTTTTTCAGGAAAAAGTCTTAAAATATTGATGCACTTAGGTATAATGCACTTTTTGAGTTCAATTGAAATGCATCTGCTGAAAGTGACGTAAAAATATCATTCTCCAAATACAAACGTTGAAATGGCACAAAAAACGTGAACGATTTCTAGTTTCGATAAGGGAATTTATTTTTAAGATTTCCCAGCGGAATAAAAACTTTACCTATTGATCCAGTTTTCTCAAGTTGGGTTCATGTTATCAAAAAAGCGCCTGCCATAATTTGTTTTAGAAAATTCAAAGAGCTTAAAGGGCATCTATTTTTTTCTGTGAAATTCGAAAGTTGAGATTTTTTTCAAAACTTAGAATGTAATGGTCTCGTTTTAGAATAGCATCTAAGAAATCCTTTCTACGTTTCAGATATAATAAACTTTTGAGGTTAGTATAAAAAAAGTCATTTGTTTTATCAAGTTAACCGTAAATTCATTCGGGAGATGAGATTGAAGCTTCAACCCATTTGTCATTTTTGTCTTACTGAAGCAGTTTTCTAGCTTTTGTTCTTAGATTTTTTCTATCATTGCCACTGCCTGAGTTAATTTACGCTTTTTGAGGAGGACCATTTTGGTTTTGCCTAGAGATAGGTCAATTCTCGTCTCACATAAAATCCTGTGCATGCGTTTTCTTTTCAGTATTGATGAAAATCTTTTTTTTTGCGCATTTGCCACTTGAAGATAATTGTGCGATTCCTGTTCGTGTTGTCCACCAATGCGCCTGATAACTGTTATTTTGCAATCTACTTCAAGATTATCTAATGTTCATCTGACGTCATTCATTTTGTGGTGTTTTCTGGTTCTTGCATGTGTTGATTTACTTTCGTTCACTCCTCAAACCTGTATTTCTTCGGGGATTTGAGCTGGCTCAGTTTTTGACTTCTCTTTTTCTGCTTTCGACTGGAAGGTGAATTTGTGCAAAGATGCCTTCATTTCTCTGACAAAAAGTACATTGTTTTGCAAGTGGCTGTTGCTTCAAGTTCAATCTACTCCTTTTTCTGGGTTTTATTTTAAGATTTGCTGAACGTAACTCAGACTTTTTTATAGGTCGTGATGATACTCGTTTTTTTTAAGGAAAAAACTTAAAATACTCTAAAAACAACAAGGCCTTTCATCTTTATTAATGCGTTCATGAACGCCGTTAGGTATATGTGCACTTTTTGAATTCAACTCAGTTCATTTGCTAACTGGTAGTCAAACCCCACTGTCGAATAGCAGAAGTCGAAAGGTCACGAAAAAGCTGATTAATTTCTAGTTTCAGAAGTAGAGTTTAATTTTCAGATTTCCAGCGAAATATGAAATTTACTGATTGATCTAGATTTCTTTAATTGAGTTAATTTTATCAAAACTGTGTTCATCAAAATTTGTTCTGGAGTTTCAAAGAGCGTTAAGGCCATCTATTTTTTTCTGAATTTCGGACGTTTAGATTTTTCAAAAAAAGTAAGTCAAAAATATATTTTTTTTCTGTGTACTTGCGTTCATTGACTTTTTTCTAACTGTCTGTTGGCTTTGTTTCACTTTGTTCTCCAGGATTACGTTTAGCACAACCCCGGTGTTTCAGTACTGTAGAATGCCTTGAGCTCAGTCAGGGGAGTCCTGTGTAGCTCCAAGTATCTATTGCGTGCTCGAGGATCGTTTTCCTGTCGTTTGAGATTGTATGTGTGATGACGTCAACTATGTGGAGTTTGACCGTTGAAAGCTCTTTGAAAATATTTGGGTATTGATCTTTTGACAAGACAAAATTCTATGTGAATACGGCTTGAGGGCGTGAGCAAGCCCTCTACCTGAGAGATATGTAAAATTTTTTCGTTAACTTAGATCGGCCATTCGATTAGGCAATAGTTAGTGCTTTCCATTTGAAACCAGATTATTACGGCAGCGTTTTCGAAATGATAATTAGGCGTTTTCATATATAGTAATCCAAATCATGGGACACGAAACAGTTACTATACAGCAATTTTTAACTAAGAACCTGTTGTGAACAGTCACATCCCAACTAGTTAAACTGATTCGGAACCCCCACCGCCCGTAGATTAGATAACAGATCGACTGATTTAGATCCACAAATGGTCCCACACGTACTTCGGACTGCCGAAGTGGATAGAGTTTCTTCAGTGGGCCCATCTTGTTGTGCCGAAGAAGCAACACCGACTGCACCACATCTCCCCCCACGACACCCACTTTTGTATCACAACGGGGTGGTTAAACTACCCCCTTCATTGGATCGGGTTCTGGCCAAAATTGGAGTACGTCATCACAGCGATCACTGGAGTGGAACCGAGGACAGATGACTTGAAATGGGCGTCCAAGGTCACCATTCGATAGAAGGATCAGACCTCTAATTTATGACGCCAAAATTTAAAAAAATTGTCAAGATTTTGAACGCCAAATGAATTAATAGTATTTGAAGTTCTCAAACTCTCAGTATACATGCTGGAAATTTCGCCTAATTTTGGGGAAACTGATTTTCATCAATATTTGATTTCGGCGTTCAATATCTTTGCAACATTTTTTTTGATCTGTAGTTTTTGTGACAAGTAAATGCAGTCAAATTTCCAAGAAACTCATTTTTCTAGACCGTTTCGTGAAATTTTAAATTGAAACTATCATATAAGATTTTGTCACAAAAATTGGTCACTAAATAACGAGGGCTAAAACCGAAACGAGACTTATTATACATATACATTCTCCAATTGTTTTTCATCTGCAGAAACAATTAAAACTAACCCCATTTTCCATCGCTAACCAAACATGATCATTTTATTGCTAATTAGGTTATATGACTGACCTTTTTGATTGAATTTTTCTGCAATTTTTACTGTGAGTACATGTTTAAATGGATTTTAGTTAAGTTTGGTCGGTCATATTTTTCCTTCTCTTGGAAATACTCTTTCTTTCTATAAAGACTCAGCCAAAATTTAAGGTCATTTACTTTTACTGTAATACACAGGCATTTAGCGAAGTGGCAAAAATTTGTACCAAAGTCTGCTATTCTGTTCTAAATGATCAAGTATGTTTATTTACTGTCGTGGTTTGACCTATGGTCTAGTTGCCCTGAACTATCTAATAATATCAGCAATTTGAACTAAAATTACAATCTTAGATATTTTTAGTAAAATTACGCCCGTGGAAATCTTTGGGCGATTCCAATAGTAAACAGCAACGAGGTAAAAAGTCCACGCCTTTGACAAGAAGTTTCATAATCCGTTTAATGACTTATGATTCGAGCATTATACATGATGATGCCCTTATCAGATCTATAAGATACATGCACAAGTATTAATGCAGTTTGGATGCTCGTTATATGAGGTGCTTTTGAAGTCATTAGTATTCTCCAGTTCAGTCAGAAAGTTAATGAAATTCGATTTTTAATGAGCAAGGGTGTAAAATTGGATTCAAAATTTTATTGGATCGTTCACTTAAGTTTTTTCAATATCCGTTGACGTTATTTAAAGAGACATGAAGATGCTGAGTGAATAAACTCAGATGTCTGACTGAGCTATCGACTTTAAATGTTTAAAGCTGTTACATTTTCAAAGTGTTTTGATATTATGAAAATATTTTACATCAAGCTACCATAAAATTATTTTTACCAAAAATTGTAAATTTTAAATCTTTCCATTCAAAGCTTTTATCTGAACTCTATTATGAGGTCAGGGGTGGATCTAGGGTTTTCTCTAGGGGCGGATTTTCATAAATTTTTTTGAAAATTTTGTTGAACTTTTTTTAAGTTCGACTAAAATTGTTTTCCATGCGGTGCCAGCACACTATAAATACCCTATTTAGACAAATTTTACAAAAGGCGCCTTTAGAAAACTTTTAGGGTTCGTTGCCCAAAAATGGATGTCATAAATAACTACCAAAGGACCACTTAATACCAAAGGAGCTAAGGTTGGTGAGGGGGTCGAATCCCTGAGGGAGAGGCTTCCGCCTCCCGTCCCCCGTCCCTGTATGAGGTATAGAGAAAATGAAACGCTAAGATTTCTCCGGAACAGGAATTTGTACAATTTCATTGGTGAATACGAAGGTATTTTTTATAACGGCGATTACGAAGCGAATTACAACAGTACTTATCTTTTTTCGGGTAGAACAAGATCGCCCGTCATTATAATTCCAATCTGCACAACAGCACTGCCGTAAAACAGCTTCTTGATAGCATGTGCATTGGCAAGATATTAGCAGATGTATCTGGTTTATTGGTGACTAGTATTTGTCGGTTGTTAAGCTTGCGTGGCTGATTGCATAGTGCGTGAGGCTCAAAATCTCTTGATTGCAGTTGGTCGCAGATTCGAATCCTACGCGTAGCCGTGTTTTTGAGAATTCGAGGCTTATTTCAACTTTTTCTTATTTCACTTTATAGAGCTGCTTTTTAGTCGTGTTCTCGCAAGTGTTTGCGAAGCGCAGCTTCGCCTATGTGTTTAAAATGCGTATGTCTTGAAAAATAAATGCTTGAACAATTTTCCCGGAAAGTCTTTCTCCTGACTGATATAAAATTTCTATTGCCTTTTGGTTTTCAATGGAAGCACGAACTTCTTATTTCATACGTCCAATTCCATCAAGAAATTGATGTTGTTGAACCGTAATAGCTGTCAGGCTCCTACCACTTTGTCTAGAGGTAACCTGGTTACCTTTGCACCATACGGCCTGGAGTTTGAGTCTCGGCCGGACCTTGATTTTTTTCATGTATGAAATTGATTTTTTCCGGTTAAATTGACTGTTCGTTTGCCGCTTAAATGTTTTGCCGGCTTAGTAGCACATCAAGGTTTTTTCTTATCTGTTATTAGTTTTCATTGTAGTTGCAAGTTTTGCTGATTTTCTTCAGTGATTTGTAAATATATTGGCCCTGACCTTGTATATTTTCCTATTTTTTTCCGCTTTGTCCGACCTTCATGGTTTTGAATAATGTTTTATCGGCTTAGCCGACTTATTTTGTGTTGGTTGAAGGGCAAAAATTGATTGTTGTTTCTCAGATAATTCAGTGAGCGCTAGTGTTATGGTACGACTTTTCTTTTTTGGGGCACGACTTTTCTTGCCACTTTTGGGGCAACTTAAAGGCTTTTTGATAGTATGTGCTTTGACATTCGAATAGTAATAAGTTAAAACAGTTGATGCATCCTAAATTTATCCCAATGGACCTAAAAAGCTATTTGTTTCAAAAAACATAACAATAATAAAAACTCGATTTCAGAAATTTTCTTACTCAATATATCTCGCAATTTTTTGAAATGCTTTATTTATACATAATGTGTTTTAATGCTTTCCAATTTATTACATGCAAAATTAGCTCTGCAGTGAATGCCTTCATCAAAATGAATGCCTTTAGTTGGTTATATTCAAAACTATTACTTGCAAAATTGTGTCTATTTGTATTTGGTGCCAGTTTTGCTCAATCGCGTAATTGCGTAAACCCCGAGGTACAATTCATGCATTTTTGTATGTAGTTGAAGGCAGACAAACCTAACAGTTTTTTAGCAAGCAATTTGAAATTCTCGTGGTTGGCTGGGAAATAACTCAGGGGCGGATCTAGGATTTTATCGAGTGGGTGCGGGGGCGGATTTTCAAAAAAATTTTGTCGACTTTTTTTAGGACGACCAAGTTGATTTTCCGAGCTCTCCCAAATCTTTACAAAGACCCTGTTTTTGCCAAAACTTCTGCGCCACAGGCAAAATTTCGAAAAAAAAACAGGACAAAAAATGCGTTATTAGGCCTTTTTTGGAAAGTTTTGGCAAGAAAATCGCGTTTTTTTCGGCGTGCGCTCCCCCCTTAAAGTTAGTATTAATTGGCGCCTTAAGAAACTTTTAGGGTCCGTCACCAAAAATGGATATCTCAAAATAGTACAAAGGGGGGACCCTTTGGGTCGGCAGGGGTTCAAATCCCTGAGGGGGGAAGGCGTCCGCCCCCCCCCCCCCCCCCCCCCCTGAATCCGCCCCTGAAAGGACTCCTGCAGCCAGGCGAGATAAGGAAGGACCAATAAGCAGGGAGGAGGCGTCCCTCAAACTGTTTCCTAAAAGTTTGAGGACGTCGTTGAATTCGTCATTCGGTTCTGAGGGAGTATGTCAGCTTAGATGTCAAAAGTCAAGTGCGAAGAAGGCCGAACTTATTTTCGGGTCGTCCAGCTCGTTCAGTTTTTCAATTAGTTCTTGTGATTCTTCCACCCTTTGCTGTATAGATTGAGAAGCAAAACCGGCGCTACCTATCGGAGCTCCCGTAACTTCGAAGCAGCGTGGTTAGCTACGAGGGATCTCATTTGGGAGAAGCGATAGTGCATTGTTCTGGGATCGTCCGGTAAGTCGTCCATTGTCGCTTTGCAGCTCAGAACAATACCTTAAGTGGCAACGTCCAGCTAGACACTTTGAAGTCAGTTTTCTAAGAATTTCACCGGCTACAATAGGACATTTCCCGTTGTCTTTTTTTCTCTAGTGCAATCAGTCAGATTTGTCCTACAAAGCAAAGGGCCATAAAATGCGGGTGCATTGCCGGCTGTGAGAAGGTTGATTAGAGACGTAAGGGTGGTTGTCTTCGGTGCTGCATCGGTAGTAGTGGGCGAAAGGTGGCGTTGAGAAGGGATCTGGAAACCAACGGGATGGGCCTAATGAAGTGCCCCTAGGAAAGGGCGACAAAACGGCTGTTTTTTTTTTTTTCAAACTAGTAAGCTGGCAGTAAGTTCTTTTCGCAAGTTGGTTTTGTTGATGCCGGGTGGAGAGCTCTTTGAATTTACACACCGTGGCAGCTGCTTGACCCTTCGATACAAGGGTTTTCGCAGCGCGTCCGTACTGACCCAATTCGGCTAGCTCCTTGACGCGTGCAAGGTGACTCTTCGTTGAACGTTTGCCTGGGTTTTTCTTAGAGCTGGATTTGTCAGTTGCAGTGCCTTCCAGTCATAGGTTGAAATGATTGCCTTCGAGCAAATCTTTTTCAGGTTTTCGTAGTAAACTTGCTTGACAGACACGTTCCGGTGCTGCGAGAACGCTTTTTGATAGCATAAGGAACATGCGTTGATGTCGGAAGGGTTGTTGACTCAGCAAACCATTACCACTTCCATTAAGATAGCCTGCTCGTTTCGGAGGGAGATAGGCACGTAACGGATGGTAATACGGCTTTCAAACACTTCATGCAGGGATGGCATGAGGTTGCCAGTTGCTGATGGTGTGGTTGCTGGCGTATCGCAAGTGTGATTTCAGTGTGCTAACCGAAACAGACAAGTCGACCATAGAGTGTCTTAGCCTGGAAGTGGCTTCATTTTCCTCGGCAACAGGGGGCGTGGGTTGTGCTCTGGTGTAAGATTTTCAGAAGAAGCCAGAATTCCAACGTCGTGTAGATCCTATGCCACTACATGGCGAATGTAACCATCCGCATTCGATTGTATGACAACACGCTCATCATTGAAACTTCGTAATAGCTTTGTTGCAGAATCTTCAAGTGTGTGTAATAGGCGGGCGGGTTCATTTCGATGTCCCCGCTGAGGACGATAAGTAGTGAGAACGACCTGTGTTTGCTTCTTATTGGTCCAGTGTACAACGTACAAATGATAAAAAAGAAGCAAAGTGAGACCATTGGGCGAGGCTTTGTACTTCAAAATTTTGATTAAAAGGGTTCTCAACTGAGAGGAAGTTTGTGCCTCGATTTTGGATACGGAGAAAAGATACACTGACAACGAGAAGTGCCGTGGGAACTGTGAGTGACTTCCACCGGTTAATACTACCTCGATTTCTGTGGGCGGCGTGTAGCATGCTAAACAACAATTTATTAGCAGGTTGAGACCGTAGTCTTCTATTTAATTAATTCATCACAACAATTAGGCTAAACCATAATTGTTTCAAAAACTGAAAAAATGTGTCTATTCGGTCCTTTTTTCATTTCCTTTGTTTTGTCTTCCTGTATTGTGACTAGTACGAACTTTCGCTCCGCCTTTTCCATGTAATAGTTTGCTTAATGGAAAAATTACAAGATTTTAGATCTGGTGTTCTCCCAAGGTTCCGCGGACAAATTTTTTCTTTCTATTTATAGCACTTTTTATGACAAATGACCAATGACCGCTGTTGTGCCCCTGTTTAAGAATAACATGCACATTTTTTTGTAATTTTTTTTTGGTTCCCCAGATTAATTTTTCTCCGAATCGTTTGCTGTATGCGATCTTATCTTTTGACATCATGTAAGATAACTGGAAAGCAGAGCCTTGACAATCCATAGTGGCATAGTTTATTTGTACTGTGACTTCATTCTTGTTGAGCTCAATAAAAGCATATCGAGCGTCAACTACTGCAGATTATCTTTTAAGCGTTTTCGGCGCATCTCTTTTTTGAAGCATCTAAAAGTGCATAAACAACTTTCGAAGCTTAAAAGCAACTGCAATTCAATTATATTTGTATCTGTACTTTAAACGCAATAGGTTTCTTCTTCAGTGTTGTCGATCCTAAACTTACCATTCCATTCTTCAACCGTTTCTTGACTCTTGTCATCCGTTGATGTTATTTTTACAATTCAAATTTACTATAAAGCTGGTAATCCAATCGATTAAATTCATACAGTGGCGGCTACTTTTTTGAACCAAATATATTTTTTTCGCGAATCACCTGTTTGTCTATCTTTTTCTCTGTCCCTGTATCCTTAGTTATTCTTTAAAACTTTTTTCGGAAGCGCAATCTTCATCATCAAATACCGACATCGCTTGGTGCTGGCCTCTTTTCAAGAATTCGGGTTTCTATAAAATTGACGCGTTGTACATATTATAATATCTGAATATTTCATCATTGTTTATCTGTGAATTTCCATTCATTTAAACATCTATACATCATTATTTATTTGTGAATTTCTCTTCAGAGCGTTAGATGAAAGAGCCTAGCTTAAGCTCTCTAGCGTTGCAACCTGCTAGAGTATACACCACTTCAAATCTGAACATGGCTGACTATTTCGATTCCTCGGGAAAGAAGTCTAATTCTATTGTGGTAAGTGGACGAGCTGTGCGAGTGTTGGAGCCCGATGTGTGCGACATGCAGATTGTACTGGAATGTAAGCCGAAAATGACAGCCCAGGAGGCGAAAGACAGTGTGATCAGAAGAGAGGATTACGTTAAGCAAGTTCTCGCTAACTTCTTCTGTAGGGTTAGTAAAAAAGGAACTTTTTATAAATGATTTCGTGCACAAATTAAACGTAAGTTTGTTTGTGAATATAAACATTTCTGTTATTTTATTGCTTCCAAAGCTAGTCTGAATGTGGTGTTTCAGGAGTCGGACATCGAAATTACGCATATGTTGCAACCTACATCTGTTACCTCGAAAGACAAACCAGAAACACAGTATATCTTCAAGAGTGAATTTTGGGTGAAGATGAGGCGAAGCAGCTCTTCGGGTAAGGGTCTTTAGCACTAAATCTCAACTGCAATTTCTAGTCAAACACGAAAAGCCGGAAAAGCTGCTTCTAGTAAAACAAGAAAAAACGTTAAAATGATATTACACTCGATAAGCTGCTAATTTGCTCTGAGGTAGGCAATAGTTCTAACTTTTTTTGAAGTTTCTGATGTACAATGTATTGTTGAAAACCCTGTGGTTTCCCTTTTTTCAGTGGGCGGTGAAGGTGGTGGTAGTCTAGTGGGAAGGGCGAGTGATGTGCACAATGTGTTGATGGAGAAAGTGGGGCCCGACTTCGTGAGTGTCTCCTCTCCCCTCGTCTTCTCACACTCGAACGAACTAATGCAGAAAGTACGGTAAGCAATGGGAGGCCACATGTTACAATAGGTGGTGATGATATCAAGTATATTTCGTGGAACATAGATTATATTATTACCCTTGCGATTAGCAAAGGTATTGCAATCGGGTACTAGACTTTTTTTTCCCGTAAATAACTTCGTTCACAGAATGATCAGAATTAGATATGGTAAATTTAGGTTCAGTTCATAATAAGTTCAATTTTCTATGCGTCTCTGGCACACTTGGTCTGGAGGTAGCGAATACGCCTGAAACGGCAAAGGTAAAATTTTCGTCTTTTGTTTGCTTCTTTTTATTTTGTCGGCTTAGTTGCCACATCGTAGAATTGTTTTTTTTTGCTGTACGCAAGGTACATTGTAGTTGTTTGTATTGTTGTTTTGATTTACTTCTGCTGTTTGTAATTTTTTAACTTTGCACTCATGTACTCATGTATTTTTTTGTTTTTTTTACTGAAAAATTTTATTCTGCCCAAATGATATTTCATCGGCTTGGTCACCTAATTTTGATCGCACAAAATGTTAAAAATCTTGATATAAATCATAGTTTTTCATGACAACTTTTTTCGGCTCGATAGGTTTCGGCATATCTCAAATCGACCTAATGGCTTCATATTGCGTCTTTCGACGAGCGAAAAAAGTTCGTATGTGCGTGTATGTCAATTTTGAGGGCTAGGGGACTAAAGAACTTTTTATTATTAAAAGTTGTGAATTTTTTCGATAAAAATGTGTTGAATTGTCTAAATGTTCATTTTTAGGCTGTTTTTATTTTACTTTATTTTCTGCTTGATAGGTTTCGGGCTATACTATATTGGCTAAGTGGCCTCATATGATTTCATTTGTCGAGTAGTAAATTTTTTTGCTCGTGTTTTGAGGATGAGGGGGAGTTTTTAACAAAGTCTTGTCTTGAGTTTTTATTTCGGCTTAAAGGGTTTCTGCTGAGGTTTTTTGGCTTTGTTATCGCTTGGTAATTTTTCGGGTTTGTTACCGCTTGCTAATTCCACATTCAGTTGTTTTGGCATGTTTTTGTGTCAACAATAGCTTTATTCATATCGATAGATCTTGTTTTTTGTTGTTGAAATTTTCGATCAAGTGGTGCGAAGCTCAGCTTCGCCTATGTGTAAACAATAAATCGAACTGATGAGAGCGAATAAAATATTGAGTTATATCTTTACGCTTGCTAAAAGTAAAGGTTATTGCAACTGGGTATTACACTTTTTCCCGTAAACAACTTTGGTCACAGAATTCGCACGTGGAAAAATTACACGTATTTACAGAAGTGAAGCGTAGTGTTTTATTACGAAGATTTTTTTGCTAAGCTAAGTCGCAAATAAAAGTGTGCTCCATTCGTGGTGGCTCTTTTGATATATTTCAATTTAATCATATTTAAGCTTATTTAAGCATGAATAATTCAATGGCATATGTTGCTGCTTTAATTTTGGCCAGTGTTAGGTCCTGTTTGAAAAAAAGATCTATTTTTAAAATGTATGGGATTTGATATTTTTCATTTTTTTTGCGACGCTGTGGAAAATTTGCGACGCAGCTGCTCTTTTATGTGCCTGTATATTTTGATAGTCTCTTTTCATTTTACCTCACTTTTTATGGCCTTCGAAAGTTTTAGTAGGGGGATTTGTCGAATATTTGTGGATTTTTTTTTCGTTTTCCCAAGTTTTAAATGCATAAATCTGAAATATTTCAAAAAAAAGAACAAATTATTCAAGCGGCTCTTCCCTAAATTTGGCAGAAAAAAAACCTTTTGACGTTTTGGTTAATTTTAGAAACTTTTTCACGGTTCTCAAAAACTACCCTGCCAAATCGGAGATTAAGGGTTTAAGCGAGTAAGAAACATCAGTTATGCGACTCTTACCTGCGCAAGCAGCCATGCCCTGCGTTTTGAAAAAAAAATATGACCTTAGACAATGTCCATTTTTTTTTTGAAATTTAGCGCGATTTTTGAAAGTTTTTTTTTCAAAAAAAATAACCTGCTGATTCTGAGGTTGATAGTTCATTAAAACTAACGTGGTGCTTAAATTTTTTTCTGCATAATCTATTTTACCCTGTTTTGTTCTTGAAAAGCTGATATGGACTTCGTGAAAATTCCTTTCCAAATTTTTTTAAAGAATTTTTGTCACTATTCTCGAAAACTACTAGCTATATCTGATATCAAGGTTTCAATCTAAAAAATTAGGTTGCAGAAATCTTCAATCTAAAAATTAGGGTGTGGTAAGCAGAGGGTATTACCTTGTTGTATATGAGAAAAATTTATGGATTTTGGAAAAGTCAAATTTTCGGAATCTTTTCACTTCTTTTTCGAAAACTACTCAGCCAAATCTGAGATAAAGGCTTCAATTGAAGAGGCGAGTAGTAGTTTTTTAAATAAGTGGATAATCCCCTACTAAAGCAGAGAAACTCTACGGTTTAGAGCAAAATCGATTTTTTGGAAATTTTGAAAGTTTACGCTTTTCCGTATCAGTACAATTTGATTAAAAATATTAGAACAAGTAGTTCCAGGATTAGCTGGGCAAATCTTTTACTTTTAAGCTACTGTGGCGCAGATTTGAGGACGTGAAACTGCTAAATAACAGGTCGGCTATTCAAATCCGGAACATTCAATTAGTTTATTTTTTGGTCGAATTTTTGCTGCACAACATTAGCAATTTGATAGAAACTGTAGCTGCTATATTGTTGGCTAGTGTTAGTAAAATTACAAGCGTTCGTGGAGCAGATGTGAGATAGTGATATTCCTAATCTCAATAACATTTTTTTTCAAGGTGTATTTTTAGTCTTTTCCTAATTTGCTTTGCGAAGCTCAGCTTCGCCTCTCTGTTAAATTTGCTTCATAATAAGTTCAAATGCCGTTAATTATTCAGCGCATTTGGCGTGGAAAATACGGAAGTGTGAGTTGACAAAGGCTTGCATTTGGAGTCCGGCTGGGACCAGTTTTTTTCGAATGTCGTCTGTTTGTTTATTTTTGGCGCCTTAGTACACTTAGCTCGTACTTTGAAGGTTATTGAAGGAAAATAATTTTTTCCTGTAACCATTTTTTAAAATAAATCTGTGAGAGCCTAGAACAACTTCTAGGTTCATTCCTTTCTGGTCTGGAGATAAAGGTCTGGGGTTTGAGTCCCGGCCGGACAGTGATTTTCTTCAGTAGGTATGAAAATAAAGTTTTTTTTGAAGAAAAATTGAATTTTCGGACTTTCATTCGTCTGCTTTTTTCTGTCGCCTTAATTTCTAAATCAAGGGACTATGTTTTAGACACTTCTCACTTTAATAGACAGTTCTCCTATTGTCTTAACAATTTACCAGCAAGAATTTTTAAATTTAATTTTTTTCAGGACATCAATTTTGCTTGGATTTTTTGTTTTCTCTTGGGGTTTCTAATTAAGTATCATTGGCTTATTGTGTGCTCGGTAAATACTAGAAACTTATTTATTGAAATTTAACTTTTCATTTTTCTGCACTAAAGGTTTAGATTTTTTTCAGTTTTTACAGTCGATGAACATAGTTTAGACTCTTATAACTGTCGCGATGATTTTTTTTTTTAGTAAAAAAAAAACGTTTTTGCGCTCATTTTAGATTTTTCCGGCTTGTCTTTTGATTTCTGTTTAAGTTCAGTTCGTTTTCTTGTTAACAGTCTTTCTTGTTAATTTTGAAAGTGGATTTAAGTAATCAGATTTCCGAGCGGAACTAAAAATTTATTTATTGATCCAGCTTTCTCAAAATAGGTGACTTTATCAAAAAAGCACCGATCATAAACTGTTCTCGAAATTCAAAGAGCTTCAAGGGTATATATTGTTTCTTTGAAATTCGAAAGTTCAAGTTTTTAGAAGAAAAATCAGTTGACTTGCTTTCATTGACTTTTTCCAACTGTCTGTTCGGTATAATTTCCGACTAGTTATTTCCGTCTTAGTTTCTGTTTGATTGTTTGCATTTCTGTGCTTTCGTTTTGTCAATGCTATGCTTGCAATGCGACGCTCCGCTTCGCCTCTGTGTAAATACCCTTGAGCCAAGATTATTGTGATCGGGTTCTAAACTTTTTCCCGTAAATAACTTTGTTCACAGGACTTATCTCATATGGGCTTCTGGACTGGCTCATCTCTAGTGGTGACTTGCTTCACAATTAAATCAAATTTTCTAACTTCGCGGTTTTAAATCAAATTTTCGCGGTCTACTTAGCGTGGAGGTAACGAATACGCCTGGGTCGCAAAGGTCCTGGGTTCGAATCTGACCAGGAACTATTTTTTTTCATACAGGAATTATTCTGTTTCTACTAAAATTGGCGGCCGATTATTTGTGTGCTTATCTTTCGTTCGCATAGTTGCGGCATCTTGGAATCGTTTTCTTTTTTGCTGCGTGGATTTTTCTATAATGCTGCTTTTACTGTTTGATTTATTCCTGCAATTTGTAATTTTACTTACCTTGACATCGTTTTCCCTTTTTTTGCTTAGAAACTTTCTTCGGCCCAAATTATTTCGGCATACTGTTTAACGACCTATTTTTTGCTCATCTCTGAAATTTTTAAGTTAGTTTTTACCACTCGGTTTGTTGATTTTATTAATGTTTTTTTTTTTCAGCTTGATAGGTTTCGGTTTGTTTTATATCGACTTAGTAGCCTCTTTTTGCGTCGTTTGTTGCGCGAAAATTTTTTGTGTCCTTTCATGTGTTATGAGTGAGAGGGGAAGTAAAGTTTTTTTTAATTAGGTTTGAATTTAAAACAATTTTGGTTAAAAGAGTTTTTCCTCAGGTATTTTCGGATTTGTCGCCGCCTGATTAATTTAGTTCGATGCGGATTTTGCATTCTGTTGTTTGGGCAAGTTTTTTCACAACTATCTTCTATTTGATAAATATAGTTGTATCGCAAGTAGTGCGAAGCTCAGCTTCCTCTCTGAGTATATTACTGTGCACAGTGACCTTGGTCGTAGAGACTCTTCCGATGTTGGAAGATAATTCGAAGATGTTTTCCCCTTTTTTCGCTCAGGGTTTCTTCGACTTAAATGGTTTCGGCTTGTGTTATGTCGTTTTAGTTGACTCGTGATACGTCGTTTCAAGGACAAAATTATATTTTTATGCATTTTTGATTCGGTTGGGGCGTCAAATTTAGAAGTTTCCAAATTTTTATAGCTCAAAATGTTTTTTTCCGGCCCAGCAATCTTCCATCCAAGTAATGACTGCTCAGTTACAGCTTGATACATTTTGTTTCAATATTAATTTATCCACAAAAACGTATTTATTTAGTTATCGACAGGTTTTTCTCAAATTACACTTCACGCGAGATAAACTTTTAAAAAAAATTAGGGTTATGTTTTTTTTTTATTTACCAATCAAATTTTCGGCTCTGTGGCTTTTGTTGTATGGCACGATAATTCGAGCTACAGGTTATCTACGATTGAGCTGCAGTTCACTATACGAAAAATAAGTGAACCGATACTAGAGTTGTTTCATTTTTTTGAGATCGCACATTCATTTTTTAAGGATTTCAATTTGTAGTGTTGAATATTCGGAGTGTTCATTTCTTCAAAGTACTTTTCGAAATAAGGTTTGTTGATTGCTGCCTGGGTTACAATGTCAAATTGTATTGTGAGCCATCTGCTATTTTTCAACTCTCAAAAAGATGTTGACGGAGTAAGAGGATATGATCATGTACATTATAATTAATGACTTAGTACATAAATTAAATCTTGGTTGTTTTAGCAGCGAAGTAAGCTCAGCGGCTGTGCTCGATGCCAAAAAGAAAGCTCTGCATGTCGTGAAGAATCTCAGTCAAGAGAACAGATCAACTATTAAACTGGCTAATCACGGACTACCGAGCTCAATATCAGAAAACGACTTCTCAGAAAAAGTCGACAAAGTTGTGGATTCGGCGAATAAGTCCTGGTCGGAGTTGCACCGACGAGCGAGTTGCCGAATTGAAGCCGAGTTTCTGTGCACTTTCGATCTGAAGTTGTCGACCAGCAAAGCGAAACTAAATTCAGCCGGGCTGAAATAAGTCATCAACCCAAAAAAATATGATAAGAATGTCATCTGTTGATTTGTGAAATAATGTAAAAATGTAAATTGCCTATTTTTATTAGACGTAGCTTCTATCTGCCGAAAATTTAACTAATTTACATGTTAGTCTAACTTTTCAGTTTTCCTAGACAAGGAAGAAAGTGCACAAAAATATAGTTGTGTAATTGACCCAAGATGAAGGGTTTTCAAGATTTAAGATTTGGATCGTTAGTGAAAAACGGCTAGTCTTCGCGTTTGAGCCAAAAGATGGCCTCTCACATTCGAGGTCTTCTATGATCTGTGATCGTTGCATAAGTGTGAAGCAATCTTCAAACCATAGAAACAACCCAAAAACGCCTGTAGGTACTAATCAAGGGTTCAAAAGTGGCTTTCCGCGAAGAGTTGAACTGCTTGTATGTAGATCTTTTTTCTAGTGGATAAATGATCATAATGAACCAATTCTTTGTTTTAAAATATGTATATATATTTTCCGTGAAAATCAGGTAAAAACACACCTAAAATCTGAGTTATGAGAGCGTTTCCTCTCTCCGGATATTATCATCAATTATACAATATTATCATTGATTTTACGAGGTTATAAATGAAGACAAAATGTGTTTGCATTTCGGTTATTGTCACATGCCATTTTTCATCACATAGTACTACATATTACTGGTGAGCCTAAGTCTGAGCTTCTACCCTTTCAGTCTACTTGAATAGAGCTGAAGAAGTTTGTTTATTGCGGAAAAGGATTTTTATTTGCAGTAAGAAATGTCCAAAATAGACGAAGCAGATTTTGGAAATTCTGAGTTAAGAATCCGTCCAATGAATCAAAGTGACTGCACATCACTATCTGATCTCACAGCTCAATTGGCAGAATTTGAGAAGATGGGTCACTTGAACCACATGACTCCCCAGCGAGTATTCAATGACAAATATGTTCGGTGCCCGTCCCTGTTTGAAGCACTGATAGCAGAAGTGAAATCGAGCGAAGATTTTGACTGGGTCGTTGTTGGTTCAGCTATTTATATAGTCGGGTTTTCGCTCAGGTCAGTTGAACTGTGACCTGTTTTTAATTGTTTGAAATTTAACGACTGGATTTCATCGAACTGGTTTGAGTTTTCCTGACTGGGTTTCATCGAACTGGCTGCCAATGCTGATCTTTGAAAGAAGGTTATATACTTTTCTCAGAAATCACGTCAACTTTCCCCGCCAGAAAAAAAACAATAAATATTATAATAATTTATTCGAATATTAATCCTAAGTCGCAAATAAAAGTACCATTTTTGGTGACATTTTTGCCAATGTGAAAAGGCTATTTGGGGGGGGGGGGGGGGGGCACTTTTGAAGAAGTAGACAGCATTAACAGTTGAAAAAACCTTGACATTTTGTTAATAATAAGTTAGCGTAGTTGATGCTTTTTCATCCAATGAACCGAACAAAAGTATGTGTGTCGGTTACAGAAATTTTCCAACTCAATATAACTCGCGATATTTTGGAAATACATAAGTTATTCGCAGTTTGGTTAAATACATTCTAATTTACTAATTCAAAGTTATTGTGGTCGCCTTTAGTTTCTTACATTCCATATTATTACATGCTAATTTATTGTGCATTTTAAACCTACTGTATCTTTCTGCCACTTTCTTTCACGTGTTTGCGAAGCGCAGCTTCGCCTCTGTACAGAAATTGAAACCGTGTGGGTAATGATCGGTTCTTAGCGCAAGCAGAGGTCTGTTTAAGAGTCGATGAACGTAGTTCAAACTTTCATCCAGGTCGTGATGATTTTTTTTGGGTTTTTTTAAAATAAATAACCACAGAAAGTGCATTCATAGAATTTAATGCACTTATGATTGCCTTTGGGTATATGTGCACATTTTAAGTTCAATTCAGTTCCTTTTCCTAAAAGGTATGTAAAATTCGCTCTCCAAATACAAAAGAGGGGAAAAACGTGATCATTTTCTAGTTTCGAATGTGGAGTTTTGTTTTTTAGATTTCACAGCGGAATGAAAACTTTACCTAACACTACACGTTTCTTAAAATGAAATAATTTTATCAAAAATGTGCGAATTATATATTGTTCTTGAAATTTAGAGCTTTAATGTCATATATTTTTTCTTTGAAGTTCGAAAAACGAAGTTTTTTTTCGAAAAACATCTGAAATTTCCCTGTTTCGTACGTTCATTGACTTTTTTGCAACACTCTGTTTTATAGTACGAGTTCATTTTTTCTGTGCTTGATTTTTGCTCAATTTCCTTTGCGAGCGAATTAATGCCATGTGTTTTATTTGCTGTGTAGGGAGCCGAATCGTAAATTTAGGGACTTAAAGCCGTGAATTTTCTCGAAGTATTTTAAAGTTTCAACAGTTCGAAAAATTTTATGAATATTACTTATGTTCTGGTTTTTTATGACAGTTTTTCTGCCCTTTGCTTAAGTTTGGAAGTAACAAGTGTCTGAACATGTTGAAAAATGTTAGCTCGTATCGTAGATGGTTCTTCCTTATTTTATTTCGATTGTTATTTATCCATTTCACAAACTGGCGAGTGTGATCCTTGAATAGTGCGTGTTCAAAAACGCCTATTATATTGGGCTTAATTTGTTTGATTTGCATTTTTTACCATTGCGAAGTGTCTGAAATTGTATTAGAACATCTAGTTTATTTACTTTTGGAAGGAAGACAGGTGCTTTATTACCCGGAGATCCGTACTTTCAAATTTTTTTCATTTGACTTATTTTGGTTTTTTCTTAGCAATTTTTCTTAGGTGTGTACGAAGTGCATTTTGTGTTTCACCTTTCCCCCTACACTGCATACATTTTTTGTGACTTGTGCTTAGTTTTACGATTTAATGCGTCTTTTCGCGATGCAAGGTGTGAAGAACAAGCTTGTGCCAAAATGAACAACATTTAGTCCAAAGTTGATTAACATAAATTTATTTAACCTTTTCTAACATTTTTCCTAGCCCTAATGGTTGCTTCTAAACCTGTGATCCCCTAAGCCGTCTCATCCCAAATTTTTTCACTATCTCCTGGTCAATCAGTTTTTATAGAAGGCTAGACTGATATAATCAAAAATTCATCAGTTTGACAATTGATTTGTCGTCAATTTTTCTTTGGCCTAAGTTGTATCTGGCCTGAAAAATTCATTTTTGGGGTATTTGATGAATTTCGTTCCAGCCTTGAGTTTCGCCCTCAAATATGCAGACTTATTAGTGTCGTGTTATTGCAGTATCTGAAGTGATGTGATCATCCCTTTGACTTTGTTTTGAGATTGATTTTTTTGTGCTCTTAAGTTGTTTGACTTATTTGGAATCTTCTGATAAATTGTGATTTCAGTTGTAGAAAAATGGGCGAGTTTAGAATAAGGGACGCAAAAGTTGAAGATTGTAACCTATTGAGAGATTTGATACTCGAATTGGGCGCATTTGAAAACATGCTTCACCTGCACCACGTGACAGAACAGATGTTGGTCAAAGATGGGTTCCAAACTTCGCCTCCGGTTTATTATGCATTCTTGTATGAGGTTAAGTTGGAAAGTGGGGATTGGTTCACTGCTGGATATACTATTTTCTCTATCGGATTTTGTCTCAGGTATCGAAAATGTAATTTCAAGTTTGGCGTTCAAGTTTTCGTATTTTGAGCGCTCTTTACACCAGCAATGCTTGTTTTATAGTATGAACTATCTTTTTTTTCAACCTAAATCGCAAATATTGTTGCGATAAAATGTGTTCATTTTGAAAGTATTCATTTTGACCAATAACCAACTATTAAATACAGCTAATTCTAAGGATTTTAACACAGACTATTTTTGTTCCGACTTTCGTAACGAAAGTAACGGAATATTTGGGCTCAGGGTGGTTTTTTTCTTCAGACAAATTTCGACTTTTTAACTAGCCATTTTTGACGAGATTTTTTTTATCATTCAAAAATATTGTTGTCCTGAGCTTAAATTTGGAAAAAATATTTCACCTGTGGGGGTTTAAAAATTGCCATTTGGGATAATTAACGCGCGATATATTTTGCGCTGTTAACGCGTAAGCGGAGATATAATCCGTCAAAGAAATCGTTGCAAATTGATTGAAGGAAGCTTATTTGCCATAATTGATTTTTTACTAGGGGCGAAGTTGATCACTATGTACTTAATGTGGTGTGTGGGGGGATGATTTTCACAAAAAATCTCAAATTAAAAAAAAATCATTTTATTTTTTCTACATCTAATTTTTTCATGTTATTACTGCTCTATAAATTGAGGCAAGTTAGTTGATAAGTTCTTTTTTTTTCAAATTGACTGGTACTGCTAATGCGTTGTAATTGGTTTGCGTCACTTGCTAATTATGTAGACTCATAATTGGCGAGCGTAACTTATGAAATTTTGTAGACACAAAGTTTTACTCATTCAATTTTTCCCCGTAGCGTTATCGGTCATATTTTAGCTTGTGTATGCGAAGTGCAACTTCGCCTCTGTATAAATTGTATGAATCTCTCTGTTAGCTCAATTTGCATAATTTTTCAACGGTCATCTTCAATTGTCCATGGTCGTATAAATGTCGATGTTTTCATTTTTCTTGTCCAAAGAGTGTACTAGAAAACTTATCGCCCAATTGCTTCAACCTCTTTGTCTTTTATTGCACAGTTTTGATAGGTCTAGTGTCAACTGCGAGTCTGCGGGGGATAACTGTCTTAGGTCTTCCCCCACCACATACGTTAGCGGTTTTCAACTTCCATGACCACTGACCACCGTCCTGCTGTCAAAATCAATCAACACCTTTGTAGTAGATAAGCAACAGATATATTTTGCATAGTTTGAACAAATCGGGACACGCAGTGTCGAGATGTGCACAAATTTCGAGATACAATTCAAGCTGTTGCTTAGCTGGTATGAAGACACGGATTTTTCATGAACTAACTCTGACTATAGCCTAGATTTATTCAAAATTATTAGTTTTATTGACAAAAAAAATGATTTAAAACATTAATATAAGTAACTAACAACATGCAATTGCACATGAAAATTGTGGAAACCAATTTTATTTGCGCGTTTGTGTGAAATAAATGTTTTATGCAGCATTGATTTTCAGAAGTAATATATGCGTGGGGAGGCCATTCTATGGTAGGTCACTTACGGGGGGGGGGGGGGAGGGATTGTTCTGTTAATCTTTTTTATTCAGGAAAAAGTTCTAAATTCTTTAATAACTACAGAAAGCATTCGAACATATTGCTGCATTTATGAATGAACCTAAGTATGTATGGCCTTTTGAGCTCAGTTCAAGTTTATCTTCAAAAACTTGAGTAATTTGAGCTTCTAGTTTCGGAAGAGGATTTTAATTTTCAGATTTTCCAGTCGAATAGAAAATTTAACCGTTGATCCAGTTTTCTTCAATTGGGTAATTTTTATTTTAAAATTGTCCCTCATAAACTGTTCTTAAAATTCAAAGATGATATATTGAAAGAAATTTCAACTTGATTTATTTTTCTCTTCACAAATTGTCCAGAAATAATGTTTCAATCAATTTTAATCTGTTTTCTTGTTCTCTTACATTTTTCCAACCTTCTGTTGTCTATGGTTTTAACTTTCTATTTCGTTTTGTTTCATTTTTTTTTTATGAAAGATATTGTGCTATTGTTTCAAGTATTTTACATTGTTTCAAATATTGCACTATTTTTTCAAGTATTGAACTAGTGTTTCAATTATTGCACTAGTGTTTTCAATATTGCGCTAACTTTTTGAACTTGCGAAGCTAGTGCATTAGTACGAACCTTCTTTTTTTCCTACCTAAGTCGCAAATATTGGTGCCACTTTTAGGGCACCTTTACAGCTTTTTGATAGCATGTGCTATGGCATTCGAATAAAAATAAATAAACACAGTTGATGCGTTTTTAATTCATCAACTGAACCGAAAAAAGCTATTTGTTTCAAACAACATCACAATACTAAAAACTCAATACTAAATTTTCCAACTCAATATATCTCGCAATTTTTGAACTGCATAATTTATACATAATGTAGCTTTATGCTTTGCGATTTGTTTCATGCAAAGTTAGTGTGGATGCC